GCTCCAGCAGGTCCCTGTCTCTGCTGTGCTGAGGACTCCAGAGCTGCCCCAGCACTGCAGGGGGGTCTCCCCAGAGTGGGGCAGAGGGGCTACGTGGAGACACTTACGTTGTAGGAGCGAGGGTGCCTCTGCTTCCACTGCACCAGGAGGAGCTGTGCCACCACCAGCGTGGCGATGAGGATGAGGACCATCTCGGCGTGCATGGCCTCGTGCCCGCGGTGCTTGGCGTGCATCCGCGCGTGCTCCACCCTGCAACGACAGCGAAGGGGCGGCTGAGGAGCTGCCGGGCACCCCCAGCCCGTCCTGGTGGGCTCCAGAGCTCCTGGGGATGCTCCTCAATTAAAAAAAGTGTTCCTCCTGGATGCCTCGAGCATCCTGCTGATGCCCGATACCAAACCCTCAGCCAGGTCTCAGAGCCCCCAGAACATTTCTCTTCCTCACACAGCGAGGACAAGGGTGGGAGGGATGGGGGGACATGGTCTAGAGGCATCAACAGCCACCAAGCCCAGCAGATTGTTTCCCCCTGCCCTGCTGTCCCTCTGCCCCTCAAAGCCCACTCTGCTTCCCAGTAGCTCAACCCCTCACCTGTACTGGTTCATTCCTTCCCCGGGGCAGGATCCTACACTTGCCCTGGTTGAAATTAATAAGGTTCCTCTCCACTCAACTCTTGTCTAACCTCCCGCCTATCCCACATGAATGCTCCGAGTCTGGCCCAGCCCAGCTGCCCACACTCCCCCACAGCTAACACCAGGGACAGGTCCTTCCACAACCATTCACCTCATCCCAAAACAAGGGCCAAACCCAGATGGTACGAAATGACAGCCTGGAAGGTGCCAGTTGCTCTCTAGACCACAAGAAAGGACAGAAGTTCAGACTCCAGATAAAGCTTCAGAGTGCTCAGGACAAGAGGAAAGAGCCTCAAGTTTCCCCAGGGGAGGTTGAGGTTCTCCCTGAGGAAGAATTTGTTGCCCTGGAGGGTTGTCCAGGGCTGTGCCAGGCTGCCCAGGGCAGTGGTGGAGTCCCCATCCCTGGAGGGGTTTCCAAGCCGTGGAGATGTGGTGCTGAGGGACATGGGTCAGTGGGGACCTGGCAGTGCTGAAGCCTCTTCCTACCCAAACCGAATCTCTGGTTCCATGATTTAGGACACCTTGTCAGTCTGAATCTTGTCACTATTAAATCTGTAATCAAGTCACGAGTTTGATTAGAACTTCTACCGAGCCACCCTGATACTTTTAAATGTGTGATTATGAGCTGCTACCAGTTAACTTCTTGATGCACCTCCCACCATCAATAAATCTGAAATTGCTACTAAATCACAACCAGGTCTGTATTTCCTGTGCCTCCTGGGAAACCCCATGGGCAGCCTGGAACAAGCCACTTCCAGACTGCTGCTCTGGGTTTGTTTTCCAGCTTGTGCTCATTGATCAAAAACCAAGGGGGGAAGAAGTCCTGGAACATGTTGGCCTTAAGCTGACAAAACAGTTCAAGTTAGGGAGGGAAATCCAAACTCAACTAATACGCCAAATTGTCTGACTCAAACTCATCCCCCATAAAATAACAGAGAGAGGACAATTCTTCCTGGGCTGCTCAGCCGGGGTCTGGCTGAAATGTGCTTGGCAAAGGGAAAAGGAAGAACATCAATGCTCCCCCATCCAGGGAGACCTGTACAGACCTGAAAGATGACTCCATGAGAACCTCAGGAGGTTCAACCAGGCCAAGGGCAAGATCCTGAACTTGGGTCAGGGTAAGCCCTGGTCCCAGCCCATGCTCGGGGTGAGTGGCTGGAGAAAGCAGCCCTGAGGGTGCTGGGGGTGAGGAGCTGGCCAGGAGCCTCCAGCAGCCTGGGCTGCACCCCCAGCAGCATGGGCAGCAGGGCAGGGAGGGGATCCTGCCCCTCTGCCCCGCTCTGGGGAGACCCCCCTGCAGTGCTGGGGCAGCTCTGGAGTCCTCAGCACAGCAGAGACAGGGACCTGCTGGAGCGGGGCCAGAGGAGCCCCAGCAATGACCCGAGGGGGGAACCCCTCTGCTGGGAGCCCAGCAGGAGAGAGTTGGGCTTGGGCAGCCTGCAGAGGAGAAGGCTCCAGCTGGGGAGACCTTCTGGTGGAATTTCAACACTTAAAGGAGACCTAGAAGAAAGCTGGGGGAGGACTTTTTAAAAGGGCTTCCAGTGATGGGATGAGGGGTGATGGCTTCAAACTGGAGAGGGGAGATTTCCATTAGGTGGAATGAAGAAATTCTTTACTGTGGGGGTGGTGAAACGCTGGCCCAGGTTGCCCAGGGAAGTTGTGGATGGTCCATCCCTGGGAGTGGTCACTTTGAGCAGCCTGGTCTTGTGGGAGGTGTCCCTGCCCGTGGCAGAGGGGTTGGAACAAGACGATCTTTAAGATCCCTTCCAACCCAACCCATTCTACCATTCAGTATGGAGTTTAAAATGAAAAATATTACAACTGCCATTGAAGACCTTTGGTACCTCCCTGGAACCCAACCACCACACAGGGCAGGTTGTCCCTGTCCTCTCCTGGTCTGCACCACTAGGAGGTGCAGCGGGGAGCAGGAGCTGGCTCCAGTGCCACGTCACACTCACCTCCACCTCTCTTCTGGGGACAAGTGCGAAAGATCGACCTGCAGAGAGAAAAAGAAACACCAGAGCAGTCAGCCTCACTGGGTACCAGAGGAATGTGCTTAAACCCCATGGTCACACCACCCCTGGGCACAGAGGGGCCATCCCTGAGGGACAGCACAGAGCAGGGATTCAGAACCCCACCAGGATGAAGGATGATGTCTGCACACCAGCAACAAACCAGGGCCAAAACTCCACAGCTTGAGGACTGGGGTCAGTTTGGGGTACCACAGGCTAAGAAGGACCTTGAGGGGCTGCAGCATGGCCAGAGAAGGGCAACAAAGCTGCTGGGGAAGAGTCTAGAGCCCAAGTGTGGGGAGGAGCAGCTGAGGGTGCTGGGGGTGCTGAGCCTGGAGCAAAGGAGGCTCAGGGGAGACCTTCTGGCTCTGCACAGCTCCTGACAGGAGCCTGGAGCCAGGGGGGGGTCGG